GGGGGGAGGGAAATGAGGAGAGTGGGTGAAGCAAGGGAGGAGGTGCAGTTTTATGAATGAGGTGATCGGTAGTATTGTGGGGAGGAGGAGTAGTTCATATTAAGATCGGGATCTCGGCGAGGTGAGAAGAGAAGCGGAGAGAAGGATGATGAAAGAGAGAAAGAGAGAAAGACCGAGAAAAGATCGTGTGAGTCTAGGGGTTGCGCATTGCGGATTCAGGTTGGGGGAAATAGTTGGTTGCACAGCGCGGGATGGGATAGATAATATGCAGGGGAAAGAATGAAATAGAAAAAGGCGAAAAGAGCAGAAAAAGGCAGATGATATATGCAGGGTCTCTCCGTGAGGCCGGATTCGAATGTTGGATTCTTTGTTTGTTTCCTTGGTTTACCACCTATCTAAAGAGGACTATTGATTTAAAAGTTGGGCTGGATTAAAAGGAGAGAAGAACTGTAGAAGAGACTATTGATTTCCAGAGATCCCAGCGAGCAGTCGGTGAAAACAATGGAAATCAATCTCATTATGCTGGTTGTCTGCAGATTCGATCTGGAAAGCTCAAAGTCAATCGGTGACCCAACGGTCAAAGCGGTCAACACCGGCAGTATGGAGTCTCGACTCGCATTGTCCGCCGGAGACACCGCGGAGAACAAGTGACGCCCCCGTTGCACTTCTGGCTTTGCTGATTTAACCCCCTCATTGGTCTTCTCCCTTGCAATTACTACTTACGGGATGGTTCTCTCATTTATTCTGGTGCAGAATCGCCAGTAAGTCATACCCCGCGTTCCCCCGGGATGCCCCATCTCCATGCATGAAATACACCCCCTAACGCAGGAACAGGGGGAAGACGCGGCTCGCGAAATGGTATGCGCCGTATAGCGTAAGTACATCCCTACTTGGACACATTCGAATGTCATCTAATACTCTTAATTTATGATAGGATGAAGAAAAGGTCAAGCTAAAGGGCGAGGTTCGTTATATGCCCCTCCCGACAACTACCACCACCATCACCATGACTACACCCCGCCGCGGAACGATTTAATAATGTATGCTGAATAGGTCCATCGCCTTGTCGCCCCGCGAGACCAGAAATACCAGTCCAATTTCGTCGAGTTCAAGAGGAGTACCAAGGTCGTCTACCGGAGATATGCGGGGTTATTCTTCTGCGCCTGCGTCGATGCAACCGACAACGAACTGGCCTACCTCGAGGCGATCCATTTCTTTGTCGAGGTGTTGGATCAGTTCTTTGGAAACGTCTGTGAGCTGGACTTGGTGTTCAACTTCTACAAGGTAAGTAAGCTATAGGGCGGTGGATGGAGTGGAGTCACTGGGATTGTCTGGAACCGGAAGAGAGTGGCAGACGGATGGGCTGATGGTTGTACAGGTATACGCTATTCTGGACGAGGTGTTTCTTGCAGGAGAGATTGAAGAGACAAGCAAGCAAGTCGTGTTGACAAGGTTGGAACACTTGGATAAGCTGGAATGAGGGAGATAATATTGGGGGGTATAGCAAGAAGGGAGAAGTATAAAGATCGCTTCATGGCGATACAATTGCATATATGACCACGGGATATGGTCAAGAGGAGTTAGGGTTCATTAGGCTGATATCAAGTCTGGGCGTGTTTCTTTATATATCATTATTGCATGCGGTTGTTTCCAATGTTGTATGTGGTTGGCGACTGTTAATACCCTTTCTGGATTACCTGCATCCTACTGTCCAATCGAGTAGATTCCATTCAAATAAGCGCCATGCGATGCCTGTAATGAGTGCACTTATAGCCGTTCTCAGGGCCACTTTCAGGGTCTGCCAGGGGTTCACAGGGACCAAGTGTGTCCGCTAATTTTTGCACTCACACGGGGTATGGCTGCTGCCTGACCTCCAACAGCCGACTTTCACTGCCGCGATGCTTGACAGCGGATCACCCGAGACATCTCACAACTGAGACCGGACCACTCAACGCAGCCAGCACGCAACGGCCGCGCCATCAAAATAATTTAAGCTTATCTGTCGATGACAGGGCTAATAGGACTCCGTAGTTCGTCTCCATTCCAGAAATGTGGTTGATTGTGGGTGCTCTTAACTGGGGGAGGGTTGCCTCCTGCCTGGGTCGACATGCCCCGAGGAGATGAGGTGATTGCGGGCGGCGATTGCGAGCCTGCCAACGACGATGGTGACAGCAGCTCTTGGCAATCCATACATAAGGGGCCTCTCACCCTGATCACAATCTTTCTTTTGATGGATTTGCTGTGCTTGATGCACGACTGCACCGTTACCCTGCACGCTTATGTTGGTCATCGCATCCGGCCTACCTGGATGGCCTGAGGACTCCGTTTTCGACAACCCTCCCACTCCGGAAGCACACCTCCTTCTTGGGCCCTAATGGTCCGACAAGCATTGGCCTTGGATCGGTGAACTGTGACGGAGATTGATTGACGGCACCGGCACTTGGGACCTACCTATCGTCTCAATCCCGTTACACCGTCCGTACGCAGGGAAAGAATTACCGCTGTATCACCTCTGTCTCGACTTCATGAACTGTTCAACAACGTCCAAGCTGGCCTGTCTTGTTGATAATGCCGCACCGGCTCGTGCTCCGTAGCAAAATCCGGAAGGAGAGGGCAGATCCTCATCAGACTACGCAGAATTCACCCACCAGTCGTGTTGCGATCAACCTTCGTGGAGATAAACCGCCGTGACAAGTTGATAACGTTACCTAACGCATCACCATTTTGGTCGAGCGCATGCAGTTCGACGGAGATTTGGGGATTGGAATCCCATGGGTCCACCACCCCACATCGGATGGCTCGCCAGTGATAGTGGTCCTTGACATGGGCAGGTTGATGGGGCTTACGACGATTCATCTAACGACTGGTCGTCTGATTGATAGATAGGGGACGGGATCCATGCCCACTTTGCCCAGATGATTATCAGTCGAGCTTTTGGCCTATCACTCCGCCAATTTCCAACTTACTTCCAACTTTGTCCCTAGATGCGCGGTTTTTGAGAAAGAAAAGGGGGAGGCAGGAAATGAGGGAACAAGGAATTTCAAGAAACCTTAGGAAATAACTCTCGTTGAACCAGTCTCCTCGCCTTCACGACCGCATAGGCCTTCGAGACTCTTCTGGCTTGCGGAGAGGGCGGCACTAGTCAATTCCACTTTCACGGGGCAGTCGGACTAGTCGACCGTAGCACCAGCTTGGACTGGGTCGGGTAAGGCGAGTTTCAATTTTCTAGGCTCGGCCGTAACAACCAAGACGAGGCAAGTCGGGAGTGCGTGGGGATTGTCTGATTATGCGTGTTCATAACATGTGGAGACTGGTTTCGCAGACGGATCATCTCGAGTTTGCCTCTTTGGTTCGGAAACGACTATTGCAGTAAAGTTGACGCCGTCCTCTTGCTGAGCCACCACCACACGTCACGTCGCAGGTGCTGGCGAGGTAGATAGACAATTGAAGTGGCCAAATTGGCAGATGAGCAAACGTCAGCAAAGAGGTCTATGTCACTTTGTCAGGTCTACTTGCGTCGCATGATACACTGACCAAATGCACATGTTCTCATAGGCAAGTCGGGGAAATTATTTGCTCGAATATCTCCTGACGGTTAACCTTAGACAGCCCGTGCCTCGGAATATTGTGGGCACACAGCCTATACGGGCAACATATTGTCCACCGTCAGAGTTGATCACATCCAAGGGTGGCGTTCCACGAGGTATCACACTATTGTATCTTTAATCTGGCCAGTTCGAGTCTAGAAATGCTTGCCCTGAAGGTTATTCCCATACACCGTTGCAATTGGCACAGAGGGATAGAATCGATGAGGCTTGGACAAGTTACGCGGACGACGACGTGGAAGTGTACTGCCGCCACCAGATGGAGACAACCGTTCAAGCTCCAGGTCGTTCCACAGTGGAACAAAGGCACGGGTCGGTGTCAGGGCATCCGCACGGCAAGATTGTGGACACTGAACAGCACCGTAGTGGATGGTGTCGGGCACTGGACTCGCAGGTCAAGCTCTAAGCAGACGCTTTAGATTACCTACCTGGGATACTCGAAACATGATATCTGGCAAGAGCTTCCTCTTTCGTGTGTTGTACACCGTATAGGACCGCTATGGTTCGTAGAGAAGTTGTCGATCTTTCTATAGATCCACAGTGAGATAGGACAAGTTCCAATACCGCTCTAAGCTCTCTTTCTCTGTAGTGGGATCAGGGTCATGTCCAACGCACTTGAATGCAATGTCCTGATTGTGACGGCTCATTTGCATGCACGCACGCTTTACAGAGGCTTCCCGGAGAAGCTTGCTTTCATTGTCGCCGCAGATGTGGGGCTTCAATAGATGGATTCAGATTCGAGAGCCATATACTTTGTAGCTTGTGAGGACACAGATCCAGTTCGTTCCGGGGTGCTTTGAACGGCCTGGACAAGCAGAAGTCCACGTAGGCAGGTGTCATAGCGCCATGGTTATTGTTGGAGCGATCCCAGCGGTCTTCCACCGTCTGTCTGGCAATGGATCTGTATACCAAACACTGAAGGGTGAAGAGTCGTCAAGATTAGATGCTCATGGTGTTGACCAGGATGAGGGACTAGCCGGATTGGGATAGCAGCACGGGAAGGAGTGAATTGGAGAGAACTAATGAACTAATGCCACTCCCAGCCATGCTAATTACACACTACCTTTGTTACCCCATGCCGGCTTACAGAACAAGGAATCCATGTATGAACATTCCATGTCCGAAGTATACACATCGACAGACGACTCTGCAGGTCATACAAATCTCAAAGCAGAATGGGTGTGTTGGTAAACACCGCAGCTCAGCATAGTTTGCAGAGATTTCCACCCTTACACCGCACAGGTAGGAATGCAGGAGCATACTCTGTATGATACGTAACAGAACAGACCCTTGAGTATGGTGGAGATGGAAGGAGAGGATACGTTTCAGGCCTTTTCTTTGCTTCGCATTTCGTAACTCGTACCATGTATGTATCCCTGAGCGGAGACCATGCTGGAAATTGACACGCACGGCTCTTCTTCTTTCCATCTTCATTTGTTCGAAGTAAAAAGGTTCGACCATTATTTTCCCCTTTCTATTTCTGTTCTTTATTTTTACTTGCTGGGATGGCGTGGGTGGCTTAACATTAGCCCGGGCGGGGAGTGGCACTATCCAGCAACAGACGGAGAAATGTACGCGTCGTCAACTGTGGCTTCAACCAATGAGTGTGAGTCCGGGCACGGTTCGACAGCTGAGCCTATGAGGACAAGATCCAATCCAGAGAATCCAGAAGCTCAACGATCGACCGGCGAAACGCAGGCCTACGCGGCCGATCCCTGGGATGCAGCGACAGCCGGGCTTGGCATGTTTCCATCTTCTCTTCTTTCCCCTTCCCCTTCTTGCTTCTTGCTTCTTGCTGGGAGCCCCGCCGCGCACCGCTGCTGGGTCTCCCGGAAGTCGAATTGATTGATTCCCTGAATCCCCTCTCGCCTCCTGCTCGCTTGTGACTGGCCCAGCACCTCGGGTTTCCCCTTGGCGAGATTCGTGGAAATTCATCTGCTTCCTCATGTTGAGTGGAGGAGAACCAAATCCACCCCCTGACTATCCTTCTGGCTTTTTTGGGTGAACGTCAGCCGGTGACGTCTATTTTTCTGTCGAGTAATCCAAGGTTTCTTTTTTTGGGGAGAAGGGAGGGAAGAGAATGACTATGGATGGATGGGTTCCCCTTCGGTTATACTTTGTACCCCAGGAGTACTACCCTGCTCTATTATTGGCCCTACATTACTATCGACAAGGTGGATTATCAATGTCACTTCCATCCTTGTGAGGAATATTTGCAGAACGTGGGTTGAGCAACCGGCGGGTCTCCGCCGGGGAAAGGAAGGGATGGAGGGGATAGAAATGAATAATTGATTGCAATGAGGGAACAAGAATCACTCGCTTCAGGGCAAAAAAAAAATAATAATTTTTGACAACAAAAAGTATACTTGGGGGAAAGGAAATAAACGCACGCCGTTTCAGAAGTATTCATGTTTCCAATGGTCCAGAGAAGTGGATGAAGATCCAAACGACCGGCCAGACCAATCCAAGGTTTCCGTCGCGGATTTCCCCAGAAGACAGGAAAGTTCCCACATTCAGTCTGGCCGTCATTTACTATTATCCAAAATATTCGAAATCCAGAAATTGCAAATAATTTAATTTACTCTTTCGGCGCAGAGGCGCCAAGGTGCTTTTCCTAGTCTGATCTTATTATTACCCTCCCACCATCGAGACTAGCCTTTCTGGGTCCTTCTGGGTTATCTACGACTCCATCACCTTGATTGTTCTTGATCTACTCCCGGGCTCCTTTTAATCTCTGCAACGCCTGCTCTGGAATCCACTTCTTTCTTCTCTTCCATTCTTTTTCTCTTGTCTCTATCCTTGTCTGCCTGCCTGTCTGTCTTCCTCGGGTTGGACTCAGTTCGTCGTCTGTCCTTAGACCTGTTCCTTCCTTTGCGACCAGCGGTCCCTTGCAGAGTAACACCTTCATTACTACTACCACTACAACCCCGGGTAGTACATCCAGTTCGCTTTACTATACTACTTCAAGCCACACATCTATCTCCGCCGATAATCCATCATGTCTTTGATTCACGCCGACAATTTGGCTCCCCAGCCAATCACTGATATCTTCACCGATGACACCTGCATCGACCGCCGCAAGTGCCACCGCACCGTGCCCATGAAGGTGCTGGCTCTGGGCGTGGGAAGAACCGGAACTGCTTGTAGGTGCTACTTGGGGAGGCAGACGACGGATTACATGACTGACTGGTTCTGTGAACAGCCCTTCGCATTGCCCTTGAACGTCTGGGCTACGTCAAGACCTACCACATGATGTCCGCCAGTATGGAGAACCCTCCCGACTGCCTGATGTGGCACGATGCTCTCGCTGCCAAGTACGACGGTGTCGGCGAGTTCGGTAGAAAGGAATGGGATCAGCTTCTGGGAGACTGCCAGGTAGGTTGCTACTATAGATCACTCGCAACGAACTCGCACGCTGACTCTTTCAAAGGCCGTCTGTGACTGGCCTGCCTGTGCCTTTGCTAAGGAGCTGATCGAGGCCTACCCCAACGCCAAGGTCATTCTGACCACCCGTGATGTTGAGTCGTGGCATGCGTATGTTATATTCCTTCGTTCTGCGATTCAGAGCATAGTCTAACTGATTCCCTATAGTTCCGTCATGAAGACCGTTTGGTGGCGTGTCTCCGACCCTGAGCACAAGTTCGTTTCGAACTTCAGCTGGGCCGCTAGCATGTACTACCCCATGCTCAACAAGTTCTTCCAGACCTTCTTTCGCGGCGACTTCCCCAACAAGGGCAAGCAGGTCTACCTTGACCACGTTGAGGAGGTCCGCAGCCTGGTTCCTCCCGAGAGGCTCCTCGAGTACAAGATCGGCGAGGGCTGGGGCCCGCTTTGCGAGTTCCTGGGTGAGGAGGTCCCCGACACTCCTTTCCCCCGCGGTAACGACATGGCCGACTTCTTCAAGCGCTGCCGCGGCCGCAACAGGCGCCAGATGCTGAACGCCGCTCTGCAGGCTGTCACCATGGGTGGTGCTCTGCTGGCGACCGGCTTGGTTGCTACCATGGCCTTCAAGCGTTTCTCTCGGTAGATGCGCTTGCTTGCTGCCTGGTTCTTTGAATTTCCTTCGCTTTTTCCCTTTGCAGCATGCGCTGGGCGCCAATGCTGCGGGTCTTTGCTTTATTTTCCCTAATTATTCCCAAAACTGCTTTTCTCATGTTGATATACACCGATGAGCGTACCACCTTCTCAGGGGTATTTGTTGCTAATACTGCACTGATGTTCTGCTATTTCCTTGGCTCTTGGCTGGGTTTCTCGCTCTATGGCTTACAGTGGGGGGAATTTTCTTGGCTATGTTGGTTAGACTTATTGCGCAGGGACCGATCTTGGATTCTTGTTGCCTGGCGTGGATGGAGTCGACGAGAGATGAATATAGATTATTTAGCCTATTAGCATGGTTGCTTCCGTATGGTGTATTCTTGGCCGGGGGGTTTTGTAATATGTAAGTAGTCTGTAGGCGAGCCTCGGCATGCGGTGTCACAGCCAACAACTCCAACCACCCTTCCCCCTCGTCCTCGCACGGTGGAAGGCGCCGAGCATCCGTCTTGGCCTGCATAGGGAGTTGTTGCGCGCCCTACAAGGCCATGGCGGTCGCTGACATGGGCTGTGCGACTTCAACCCGTTGTGCTTGGCACGTCCTCGGCGGGCGCGGTTCCCAGCCCAATCCAATCCTTGTCATACTCATCACACAGCCTTGTATGTATGCGAGCTGAGCCTGGCGGTAAGCAGAGCATTCATCATCCTCATTGATCAGATACTAACTCCGCTCGGTACTTCAGGCTTGCTTACAGCAGATCTATCGACCCAGCTGCATGCATAAGGCGCCCGCCCAGCGCATGACGGAAATTAAACCAACCATACCAATAAGCCGTACGGAGTAGATACTACTCACTGCCAGTTGGCAACAACAAAGTACAACATTACAATCTCAATGCGCAATGTCAAGCAGCACGTGGGGCATAAACCAATGAGCCTAGCATAAATACCTCAAAATGTTCCGAATTACTTTTAACCAGCTAGTTGGTTGGTTGGATGGTCAGCGAATTATGCAAGCCATGACTCTCAAAAATGAGCGGCTCCTATACCCGCCGCCTCCGCCGCCTAAACTTGAAGCTGTGCTGCGACGAAAGGGGTGCTGGTGTGGTGTGGCGGCGCCTATTAATAGAGTTCCGCTGATGCAGCCAAGGATAGGAGATGAGAGTGCAGCGCTTACGTTCCAAGGCAAGTTGTGTGTGTGTGCGTATGAACCTGTCTAAAATTATATACGTAGAGTGTTAGTTGTGTTGTGTTGTGCTGTGATGCATCCAATGCAGCATAAGGAAAGTACATGTTCTGCAAGCGCCAGGATTCAAATGTCTGTGTGACCCGTGATCCGGTGTCGTATTCGTTTAGTATTTTTGTTTCGTTTCTGTATCTTTTGTTTTGGACTATTGGATTTCTGCCAAGCCATTCAGGCACTGTTTATTGTTGGGGTTGTCTCCATTGTTCATTTCGCTTTTCTTTTCATGTAGATGACTAAGCGTGACAGGCTTAATGAGGAATACAGCCAGCCATGACATTCTCAACCACATGCATAACTACTATGTACTTATCTACCTTCAACAATAAAACTCTACAAACAACAACTATCTACAAAATAGGTGATCAAGAATCCTATCCCCTACCACAGCCGGGAGCCCTGACTAGCACTCCAATTCCGGCCCGGCAAATATTTTACCTACCTCGACTAGACAGGCACCTAGTACCTAGTGAAAGGCCCAGCCCATCAACTAATCAATCAATCAAACTAAAAGAGTGGAGAAGTCTCCTTCCTCGCAACTCCACCAGTTTTCTCTTTCTCCTGCTCCAACCACAACCGTGGCGTGACGTGGCGTCGGCATGGGTCCCCCCCCCCCCTTCTTCTCAGTTCAGTTCCCCTTGGTCTAGCCTGAACATGAAATCCATGAAATTTTGCCTGTGGCAGTCGTGGCGACTATTCCTGATTGGGCGTTAGGTTCGGCGTTAACGAAACACACCCAATTTGCCCGGGGGGTTGTTGGTTCCATGGTTTACCGGGTTCGTACGGATGTAAATATACCCCCCGGTAATGGGTAACGTGTGTGTTGTGTATCTATCTTTGTCTTTAGTTAGCCTTGATCCCACTGGGATAGTAGTCAGAGTAATTAGTGGTGTTATTTGAAGGGTTCAAGGGAGGATCTAATTATCTAGTGGCGGCTGCTTTTATTAGCTAGCTGGAACGGTGGTTCAATTGGTGCTGTGATTTGTGCTAGTTGGGATGTGAGGACTGGCGTGGATTAGACTAGATGGGGTTGGGGGAGGCACTACGTGGAGGGGGTACGTATGTTCTCTCTCCGCAAGTTGGTAGTACTAGTTTACGCCGTAGCTGTGAGCTGAGGACAAAGTAGATGGGGGTTCAACGCTTTGCTTCTTATACCTTTCATGACGGTGATTCTTTTGCTTGCTGTTGTGGTGTGATATTGATTATTATCGTTATTAGGTTGTGAATTCGTTGGAGTACTTGCGGTGCTGCTGCTATACAGACAGAAGGGGAATTGCTGTAGACGGAAGGCTCTAATCATAGAGATAAAATGAGGATGGTCAGGAGGTCATGTCTACGTAGTACTTCAATGTGGTCTGGAAATAAGTGCCCGAACCAAGCATTAGGATAGACAATTCTCCTAGTTACGAGGCAGGTGCCAAATGCGCCACAAAGATCGCCTATCTTTGCGCAACGTGATGACGATTAGAGTTGTGGAAATTCACAACTGTAGTTATCTTGCTATCACTATACTATACCTTGGAACACATCTTTCTCTGACAGACCGTATCATTATCTGTCATATGTCGGTATGGACCAACACACGCTGCTGTCTCTGTATGCCATGCCAACTGTGCCTCTGCGTCTGAGGTATGGAGATTTCAATCCCTGCTGCTGCACGACTGCAATAAACATGAACAGCCAGTGCCAGATTGGGGTGGGGATCTTTATCCTGTTCCCGCTCCGATCAACCAATGATGGTTTGTAGCCACTACATTTCCAGAACTCCGGCTCGCCATGGCTAATCCACATTGGGTGTCATCGTACGTTGGCCGGGCTTGGCACGACTCCACCGACGAAACGAGGAAATCGGGTGTAACGAACTGTGGCCAGCCTGAAGCATAAAGCAGGATTGCCAAACGTTATCCCCGGCGGTTTGCGGGCAGAAAAAGCAGACCAGAGGGGGAAAAAAAGAGGATTCAAATAGACGGAGAGGAAGAAAGTCGAGAGCGTCCTATGGTCCTTGTTTCGCCGCTTTCGTCTCCTCTACTATCTCTCTCTCCCTCTCGCCCTCTCTTCCTCCCTTTATATCATCAACCGCTGATCCCTTCCCCTACTCTCCCCCGATCTTCCCCCATTCTTTCATCCCTGTATACATACTTCGGTACATACCTTGACACCCCGATCAGGTGGCCCTGCATTGACTGTGGGATTTTCTCGCCATCTGCATCTGTTTTTCATCTTTCATCGACATTCCTTTTTCTCTGTTTCCCTC